GCTAAAGTAATCGAATAATCGATACATCTTGTTGACCCCTTAACTTACTCAAACACAGCTTATAACCTTTCATCAACCTCAATATTATCCTTCCATTCCCATCCCTTAAAAAATCCAATAATGTAACCACTTACACGTTTCTTGTCGCAAACATTGTTTCAATTTCGTTGGCACACCTCTAACATAAGATGTGGTATAAACTTTAACATTACAAATGTGATTAGGCATGAGGTGTACCTATTTATAATCACAGATATAAATAACTGTTATCACTAAATAACAGTTACTGTTCTTATCGTAAGTAAGTCACAGCGGGCAACCACGAGTTACCGGGGCTCCCGTTTGAAGCAGGAGTAGGATTTGAATGGTTTTAGTCGGCAAAAGTCTGACACTCTCTCGTCACAACCAAAGCGGAAAAAGTCGTTGGATAATTTTTCCCCTTATAAAAAGTTATCAGATAATAGTTGTTCTGGGGGATAAATTACAGCTTAACATGGTAATAGCAGTTCAAATTACGGTTACGGTTCAAATAATAGCTTGTTATATCATAATCTATTATGGATATTAACAAATATACCAAAGAGTCATTGGATTGAATACCTGTTAGTTAGTTAGTAACAGTTATTGAGAACAGTGATGTTGCCAAACAGTAACAGCAAGAACAGGTATTAGATTGTTACAACCCAACTCTCTTATATGATACCATACATCGTGCGAGTTATGATAACAGTGTACAAACTCGTACACTGAAAGCAATTTGTCTGTTACATGAATGTTTCTCGAGTTGACAAGGACCCCATTTCATATTCAAACTGGAATGGGCTTCTTGTTTGGTGGACTTCAATTATTTCTGAGCGGATTTGTAATGTACTTTTGTTTTTATTATGGGTCGGTAATGACTGTGGAGTAATTCAGCACATTTTTTGTTTAGTATCAACAAAAGGTGTGTCATGCATACACTAGAATGTTATATTTTTTTTTATAAACATTACACATCATGCCTTTTATCCCCAAATTGGTAGGCACATTATGCCACTGTATTTTTTTATAAACCTCATTAATAAAAACAACTTCAAACTCCTCTTTTTTGAGGTTGGTTTACTAATACACTAAAACCTTTTCCTAAATGTAGCAAATAATTTTCTGTAAACCGCATCAAAATCGGTTCAGCCAATCGCGAGATAATTGCGCACAAACATATAACAATAATAAATAGTAACATAGAGACATATTTATGTACATTATAATTATGTATTCATTTTTTCAAGTCGGTTATAAAGCTAGCTAGCTAAGCTATGTTATCTATTTTATTATCGTTAAAACATTTCTTAGCTTTCTATAGTAAAATACATCCAACATAATCTGCATCAAATAACTATTATCTTTTACGTCTTCCGTTTTTCTTAAATCCACTATTTCTATAACAAAACTGTCATATCCGCATGTTAACAACAAACATAATTCTCAAGTGTATTAGACGATAAGAAAAACAAATATTACATTACATTTTTATGCAGACAAATCTTTAAAGAAGATTTTTAATGTTCAAAGATGCGTATAACGAACTTTATAAGAGAAATAAATGAATGATTGATACAATAAAACCTTTATAAAGCAGGCCATGTATGTAATATTCATAAAATGTAATATTAGCCTTTCAGACAAAATGTTGGCTAAAGAAAAGAAGCTAAATTAGATTTTGTTTTTTTCTGTATAATAAATTACTTTACCCGCCAATGTAGGGCTCACTAAGATAAACCGTGATACATATGTTTCGTCCGGATATTGACAGCAGCTAATATTGTTTAAGAGAAGAAAATTTTCTTATATACCTTACAAAAAAAACATAGTTGTGATGATTATCATGGTCGTGCGCGCTTATGTAGCTTTTTTATACTGACGTTATGAAATATGTCATACGACATACGATTCAAAGTTCGTGTTTAAATGACAGTGATATTGCTGAGCTGGAACCGTGCTGAAATCGTGCTTGTAAAGGAGCGCTATGAGCTTAAAAGTACCTATGTTTTCAAAGTTTGCCTATACTTAAAGTCAATATACCGTCCCAACATACGTAGAAAGATACCAAGACTTAATTAAAGTCGTCTTAAAATTAACCAACACATCTTATTTTCTCTATACGAAAGTAACAAGCGTATGCTGCCTTCAAAATATTTCCCTTGACATGAGCGACATCAAAGGAGTAGTCAAATTTTAAATAATTCAGCAACTGTGAAAAGCGAGTGTTCGTTTGCGAGCCAAGAAATAATGAAGCGCATTCCAGCGCTGTCTCCCTTAATGAGTTGTCAAACGTCTGAGCCCCGAGGCTTCGCAGTAAAAACGTAATTTGTATCTTATGTTTTTAATTGAAATTATGAACTGCTGGACCAATTGAAAATTGTTGATTAAGTCTTGTTTATACTTACGATAACTATACTATAACTTCTTTCCGTCTTACATATTCCTTACTTGGTGGTCAATATGTTAAGCTTTTATTATCTAAATTGGTACTTCTACCAAAATGTTTTTAGAATTCATATTACGTCTGATAGCTTTCCTTTCTTGCTTTCTATACCACAAAAGTATCAAGATAAGAACAATTGTCATTTGCGTAATGATCGACTAAAGATTTCAATTATTTCTCCTTGTTTAGGGTAGAAGAAGTGTATGTGCTACGGTTAGGTGTGACAAGCTAGGAAGCTAGTAAGCTTCTTTCCATTTTCCATTAGATAGACCATCAACTTGTTTGCCATCTCAAAGACATAAAAAGTAAAGAGTAAACGGTTTGAGAAGCTATAACGCAGCCATAGACTCCTTATGAAGTAGTAAAAAAGAAAGGTTGTAGTGTAAATGCCAGTCCTTTTTAACGCGGTTTTTATTTCAGTAACCGTTTTGTTTTCTTGTTATGAGAAGGGTTTGTTGACATTCAGTGGGTATTTGTCGCATTGACATGGGTCGTAACTTCTTACACCAGATTTATACCTACACTTTATCCTTTTATTTTTAATGGTAACAATATTCAGTACTGAGGCGAACTCACAAAGGATTTCAAGGAACTAAATCACGAGGCTTTCTATTATATTCACACAGATTTGTTCAGCAAAAGATTTACGAACAGGAATACTGCCAAATGCTTGCCAACAAAATTCGCACCCTTCCGGCCAATCTGCAATATTTTAAACAAAAAAAAAAACAACCCAAAAGATTTGAATGTATTTGTATATTTATATGAACGAAATTATTTTATGATGAAAATTTGCAAGCGGATGCTAACGTAATAAATTTCATGCTCTCATAATTCTGTGGCATGATTTACAGGCTGATTTTCAGCGACACGGTTTCAGCGTTTTTGTACAATATGCCAATTAAACCTCACCCCGTACATTATTTGGCTGGAAGTTATTAAATTGAGACAATTATGACGATGTTTATATTGATTAAAATTATGATGAAAGCTTTTAAAATGTTATACGAGTGTTGTGTGATGTTAATTAAAGGTTTCATCGGCGAAACCTTGAAGTACTTTTGTATATTATTATGTTTATGTATAACACAGAATTCAGATAAATTTATTCAGTTCTAAACGTTGTTATATCAACTTTTAATGAACTTCTATTTTTTTTAGTATTCAAGAGATATCGAAAAGAAATGTTGATATTTACTACAAAAAGGAAACTGAACATTTCGGTTCTTGCTATCACCCACATGCCTGAGGCAAGTGTAGATAAGTATGTAGGTATTTTAACATACCAAAGTCATCAGTTGGAACGAAACGAAACTTCAAAAAGCTTTGCAAATGAGGTCTCGAAGAAGAATAGTTTCAAAGAAATATTTTGCTTTGTCCCGCCTCTATTTCCTATATTTTCTATCGTACGCTTAAAGTTTAATGGTTTGTGCTGAAGATCGATTGCAGCGTCAATATATTTTTATTTTTGCACACAATTCTCAGTTCGTTTGCTCCCAACTGCGGTCGGAAGAGAGTAAACAAGTTGGGAGTTTGAATCGCTGATATGTTCCCATTGTTACTTTACACAGGGTGCGCGCTCGATCGACTGTGAAAGTCAATCTTACGTTTCATGTGTAACGGTAACCTTTTTAAGTAAATTGTGTAAAAGTGAATATTGGTGCTGATAAAATCACGTTTTATCGGATAGGGTTGAAAATGTTTTCGGATTTTTTATGTTAATTTTTTATTCGAATGTGTATTTGGTTTTTTGCCGTTTCGATATTATGTAAAACGTTATACATTTGCTTGATTGTGTTTGTTGTTCCCTTTAATGACTATGACAATTATGAATATTCTTATACATAATATCGAATCTTTTCTGAATAAACAGTTGGCTTTCTAAACCTTCTACGATTGTTTTATTATGTCTATATGCTTGTCAAAGATATCAATAAACTAAGCGATTTCCTTTAAGAATAATTAGGCAAAATAAAACTCACATTCAAATAGTATATTGATTTATATTGTATAAAGTATATTTTTAAATACAACAACGATTGTGAAAACAAAATGGAAGATATGAAGTGAATTCTAATACTAATGGCATTTTCTAAGAACTACAAACTAGGATAGATAGAATCTAATTTAGGTTGAGTGTTCTACTGAATTGGAGAAGGGATTTGATACATAGTTTCATGTTAGCCTTAGAAACTATTTGGTGGATTATTTGAATGCTCTGCAGAGAATACTTTGTGGCTAGTTTCCTTAGTTACAGATTTAAGTCATAATCAAAATATAACATTGCGATGTTATGTATGTGTTGTATATAACTACATTTAATTGGTTAAAAGTCCCGAATTGATAGACATATAATTAAAAGAGGTGTGTATAATTACGAAGTGTGGATTATGCTAAAAAAAATACATAAGTAATAAATAAGGATGTTTATCCTATTTAATTCAATTGAAAGATAGTCAAACATTTTTCTTTCGCACTCAGAAACATTTAATGATTACTTAAACTAACTAAAAATTACGAGTTACTTACGTAAATATACTGATAAAAGCTCTACTAGTTTCGAGTCAGCATGCCTCACAACAGTTATTATAGAAACATTACTTAAACTATTCCTAAGTAACGATTTTGTATCGATAACGATTGCTTAAGACTGGGCTAAGTAGCCATTAAATGACTCTGAGTACGGCGGTTAGTTTTTTGTTTTCATTCACTTAAAAGCCAAAGTAATAGCAGAAACAAATCTCAACTAGACACAAAATATTTATTGCAGCCTCAGTAAAAAAATACAAACTCATTTATGTAAGTAGGTATCTCATATTTGTGTTATCAACTTCCTAAGAAAAAGTTCCCCGTGGGAAATTAAAATACTCAACCGCGTTAGACGATTTAATAATAAAAAGGCGCGTGTACAACCAGCCATTTTATTTAATGCAAAAAGGCGATATTACGGTACATTTTTTTACTACCTTTACGTTATATAAGGACTTTTTCTTAGTTTCTTTATATATAATTTGAAATGTATAACGTTTTGGTATAATAGCTGTAGTACTATTTTAATTGAAATAAAAAAAATAATAGTACTGGTAAGAAAAAAGCTGTAAACAAAGCCTAGGATACACTAGGGGACAAGTGTTCGGGGACACGTGTCGCTAGCGACGTCGGGTGGAGTAGCGCGATGTTGCGGGACTTTGGTCGACGTGTCTGGTAACATCAACGTCACTTTGAACATTAGTTGTGTATATATATCGACGGCTTCGCTCGACATGTCGCCGATAATGTCGTGGGACATTTGTACCCCAGTGTATTCTTGGCTTTAACATGTTACCTTTATTATGACTAAACATACCTAAGCAAGTTTTCCGAAATGATATTAGGCAATGTGTTGTGTTACCAAGATTATATTTCCCTGATTAGAAAATGTGTTAGATGTTACTTGTCTGTTGTTTGGTAATGAAGTACACTTCATTAATAATACTGCTAACAGAATTATTTTTCTCAAAATCTGTAGAGGATGTTAGAAGAGAAGTTATTTCGTTTTCATGAAATCATTAGGTTAAAAAGAATGAAAGTCCCGAAATAAGTGTCATAAAACTTTGATTTTATTCTATCACAAATGAAAAAGAATGTTTGACTTTTAATTCAAATTATTAAGAAACAAATCTCTGCTATTGGATATACGCCCTTATAAAACACGTGCTTGTTCGTTCGATTTTAATGCATAAATTAGTGTATTAAGGTGTATAGTTGTAAATTTTGATGTTATTCGTCCTTGCGATCTTCGTTGTGAAGAAGTATGATGCTCTCACTGGGCGTAGGGGTGTCGAATATTGGTAGATTTTCAACCTCACCTGTAATTTTTTTACAAAAAATTAGTTTTGTTATTTTGTTATTAGATATTCATTTCTTTAGAAGGGTTTCTTTTTTAACTTGAAGGTTAAAAATATTACAATTACTAAATAATTTTACACACGTGACATGGAATCAAACTACACTTTGTAAATCTTGTTAAACGGAAACGATTTATTGCAGTAGCCCAGAATATCACACCCCTTAGATTACATGAGTACCATTTTAAAAGAATTTGAATCTAAAATACTCACTGTAAGAGCGATGGTTAATTTATTTCGAATTGGGCGCTATTAGGTAGATATTCTGAATCGTCGTTTGATAACCACCATTTTTCTACAAAACGTTTTTCAATTGTTTAATACTTACGTTATTTTAGACTAAATAAACGTACCTATATTATATACCAATTTAAAAACTATCATGTGGTTTAATTTCCTAATAATTATTCCAAAACATTTATAACTAGCAATAGTGGGCAAAGTAAGTCTCGCCATAGATTTACGTTCAAAATAAGATACGCATATAAAATACCACAATTGAATGTCCAACCTTGATTTAGACTCCCTAGGTCAGGTAACAATGCAAAATAATTGTTCATTTAAGATTATTATTCTTGCAGATGCTCAAGCGTTTAATACATTCAGCGACATGTAAACTTTTAATAGTTCATTGTAATAAATGATTTCTAAATTGGACAATTCCGTTTTCTTATCAGAAATCATCCTTTGCCTTGACTTATAATAAATGTGTAAGTATAGACATTGGTTAAATCGACAAGACCGTTTAGTAGAGATGTACTTCTTTATAGTGCAAGAGCAATTCGCTATTTAATGTTATTAATCTTATTGTAACTTTAGGTATAAATTACTAAGCACCATGAACAAGGCCTAATACTGTACCTACATAATGCTTTGAATCTTTTAGCAAAACCATAGACTTTGTTAGGTGGGCAAAATTACTATTGCTACCAGTTAGTTTACTTACCAATTCTGACGATAAAGTTGACGGATTCGTCCTCGTCTAGCATAGAGAACACATTTTCTACGGGAATGTACACGTTTTGGGTGTGCTCCAGAAAGTCTGCATCCTTCTCACACTTGCATGGTCGTCTGGAAAAGTATAAAGAGTTCAATATTAAACTGATTATACCGGTTAGTGCTGGTTCTAAGCTTAATATCTCTTTAGTTGTATAGGATTGCAGTTCCATCAGATTATCAGATGATGTGATGCAAAAGAGAACTAAAATAGAGAATACCTATGGCATCAAGTCCATCCAAAAAAAACACGAGCAAATTCCTAATTCCCAAAAGGCCGGTAACGCATTTGTAACGCCTCTGGTGTTCCAGGTGTCCATGGCTGACGCCGATTGCTTACTATCAGTTGATCAGTAGTTTACTTAGACCCATAAAAATTCGAAACCGCAACTAGATCGATTGATCATAATATATTATGCAACCTTCATTTGGAACTAACTACTCGATTAAAAACCGAGCCTATCTGTCATCCTTGTAACATTGTTTTAACACAGACACATCTCAATATAATTAGTGAACTAAACAACGGATGTTTCAACGTTAATGCGAATATAACACTTGAAATAACCAACATAAATGTTTACGATTGCATTTGTACACAAACAGCAACTGTTCCGGAACAATTATCCTTTGGCAATATAAATAATTGTTCTGCACTGGAACTAATGGGGAGTATATTCACGTGTATACTCCGTTTCTGGCTGGCATCAAACAGATTGCAATTATTGGTTCTAATTCTATTTCCAGCCTTGGAGATCTAGACATTTCTGGAATATTCTACGTTTATCGTTTGGGAATAAATTTTGGTTTACATGTAACCATATAAGGCCAGTTTTTTGCAATTATAAATGTAGTTTTTAAAACTTTATCTTGAAAGTGAAAAATGTAACCGTTAGAAAATCTTTCACCCCTTATATCTATGTATGAACTAATAATGTCAATATCAAATATGGTTATTTCCTGGCATACGTATTATAAAGTTATGAGTAGTGTAAAATAACCCTATTTATTTAACACAGTAGAAAGTATCCCAGAAAATCTCATAAGGCATAACAGAAAAAATATGTATTTTTTTATTCGACCTACGCTGAACATGAGAGAAATGCCTTAATGTTTTATGTACTCACAGACAAAGCGATTTATAATACTGGTAAGTAACATTTTTCTACAAAAGATCTTATTTATGCCGCTTGTACGGTAATCTAACAAATTGTTTTGAATGAAAAGACGAAGATTTTCAAAGGTTCTGTTCTGGAACTTTTTCTAACAAGCATTTTGTTATTTAGAAGTATTGTTGAGAAATATCTAGCGGCCGTGCCTTAAAACTTAAAAATCTATCATTCTAAGGACGTCAGTATACAAATTGGTAGACACATAGGTTGGAGCTAAAGTCACTAACCTGTAAACAATCCTTTTGCTCGGTAAGTTTGGTAAGAAAATGTCGACTTCAAAATAAAACTTCTCAGCATGGTCGTCGTTTACAAGCACAGTCCACATCATTCTTCCTGAAATATAATGTAACGTACGTATAAAAATATAAAGTTATTCCAAAGTCTTGATTCTTACTAAGAAATCTTAGGGCGCCACAGGAATGGCGCGACGTTCAACACTTAGTTTGGATAGGCGTCCAAACTGAGTATGTGGTGCGTCGCGCCACACGATATACGAGTATCTTGTCATAATTTTCATAATTTAATCAATAAACACCATTTTGACCAACGACGTTGAGAACCCTACATAGCTAATCCACTGTTTGATTTTGCATTCATTTTTGGGAGTCTTCCTATCCAAAAACAATGATGGTGCAATTGAATAGTTTCCTTATTATGTTTACCAGGCTCTTATCATACCTCTGAGAGTCTGAGGTGGAGACCTACAGAGGCTTACATTAACTATGGTAACCGTTTCTCACTAATTATACTAAGTAAACTAGACACCAGACACAATTAGAATAAAATTTTAAGTAGTGTATGGAATGTAGTTTGCCTGTGATTGCACTTATTTTATGCGAAGCAATTTGTTTGACCATTTTCAGATGTTTTTATTTTACTTACTTTTGGTTTTTATTTTTTTATTTTACGTGTGTATTCATTTTGTGATAAGTGTTATGTTGACCACATTTCTTTATAGTATTAAGTTAGTTTTTTATAATTGAAAACCTATAAAGTGCTTTCAGTCTTTATAATTGAAACCTTATCATTGGGTGTCAGTTTCACACACAATTTTTCACTTACATACATACATACATACATAACTTCACGCCTGTCTCCCATGGGGGTAGGCAGAGACTAAGGAACGCCAATTACTACAATTTTTCACTTACTGTTTTGTTAACTGTTAGTATTACAAAGTTGTCAAATAAAAAAATAAAAAATGTACACAGAAAGTTCCTTTCTTCGTACCATACATTTATAGACTCCTTCACTCTTTATCAAGCATTTTACAGAGTGTAAAAACACGAGAAGTATTGCATATTCTCAGTTACAAAGAAACGAAAACAGAAGACGTCTGGCTTCGCAAAGTATAGCGACAATCGTTAAAAAAACAGCTTAGTTTAATTGTGTCTGGAATTACAGATTGCTGTGTCTCGACTGCTGTCTTTCCTGGTATTCAGAATAAGATAAAATGTATTTTTCCATGCTATTAGCTTTTTACGAAGTTGTGTAATTATATTTTTATGGGATTTTTCCGGAATCACGACAAGTATTAGATATTTTATTGGATCGATTCCAGTATCAATAAATTGTATTTGACTACTCATAAGGATTCTTAAACTTTCCATACTTTTGAAGTTCTGTAAATATTATTTTACATAGGTACGAGATTATTCTACTTTCCATGATGAAAATCACGTTCCTTATCATTGTTTGCTCCCAGTATTACACCTTATTCCCGCTTTTTCAAATCTATAAAAGATTTACTTAGTTGATAATGTTACGATTAAAATCTCCATAAAATATTTAAATTTCTATCTATTCTGTTTCATTAGGGAGGTTGTCAGACTTCTTTCTATTGTTGAAGGTTGCCATGTCTAATAATCTTCCTACTGTGATGTTCGTTGCATATTGTACTGTATTCCTCTATAATACAGTCCAAGGATTCTAAATATACATATTCTGTCAAGTAGGGACCTATATATAGTAAACATATGAGTATCTAGATCAGTTTATACAAACGGATGGAAGTGATTTCCACTGACCCACTTCGATTGTTCCAGATAACTTGATTGGCAATAGTTATCTTGATAACGCATATGTTATACATGTTTATCAATCAATTACGCATTTGCGGCATTTATGTTATGACTAATTTAATTATCGACTGCCTTGTTTGTTAAGTACGTAATCATAAGCGTGCTTGCTGAATATAAGCATTATTTTATGATATAAGTTATTCATGTGCTGGTGATTGCTGATGAGCACGTTTTATCACTACCCTTACAGGTCTCACAGATGTTGAAAGAGCCGGTTATCCCGTTGTATGTCATAATGCAGATCTATGCGAGTCTCAAAGTATTTTCTATTGTGTCTCATATATCGACAGACGACAGGTTAAGGGACTATAGGTAGTGCGCTCTCTATCAAACTGCGATCTCTAGCCCCCATGGGAAAAATCTCTCTTATGAACAGGAGGCATATGGTAATCCAACAGTGTACTGGAGCTTATAAATATAAAACTTAGAAGCCAAACAGTAGCGTGAGCATGGTTAAAGCTATCGGTGGTTAAGACTCCAGAGACAGAAACCTTCCTCATGATGCGCGCCGATTCAAGGAGAACTGCCGTCTGTATCAAACCATTAATAAATCCGCCTAACGCCAGCCTGCCAAGATGGTTATCACGGCTGTTAGGAATTAACCCATTGTCCGACACAAGTATCGGCAATGATACAGGAATTTAATGTGTATTGTTATTATAATAACAGTATACCATTATCCAAGAAATACACAAAGAGCTACCACTAATACAAGATTATGGAATTTTTTCCCACCACGTAATCGAGTTATTAACAGTTCACTTCAGAATTCAGGTCAACGATCAACTTTGTTGAGGGAAGCCCCACCATAGACGGTTAAAATGCCGTGAATATTGTATCACCGTTCTTTTAAATTGTTATGACTTTATCTAGGCTTTGAAAAATAATTTGGATTTGACTGATTTTTTCCTTTTTCGATATGACTGATTTCCTTTTTCATAATATCCCCCATCCTTGGGGATGTCATTTGTAACTAAAGACTGAATGCTATTGAAGAAGTTCTGTGTATTTTTAACACATTGTGTTATGTCCTGTATTACGTGTTTGACTTATAACTAGGTACCTGCATTGGTATATTATGTAAGCCATCATGTCGACTAACCCTTAAACTTAAACAAAAAACGTTGAACCAAATCTTTGTAAAATTAAATTTGTCCGTACCTCCTCTCTTATCATAAATCTGGTACACGTTGAATATCCGTTCGTAACACTTCAGCAGAAAGTAGTTGAGCACCGGTTCTGTCCTCTTCGCGTCCCATCGGTTTTTCACCGTGATGAATGGGAGCTCCGTGACCTTCTCACTATGTTCCATGAAACAATGGTCCATCCAGTCGCCAGCGCGACCTTTCCATTTGCAGTCCCCTGGAATTGCGAAATTTTAAGCAAAAAGAAAAAAGCATTCCTATTGTAAATTTTGGGATCAGTTGTGTCAGTTTTAGTGGATTTTGAAAGAGGTGAATTGTGTCATTGTGAACCTTTGTTTGGAATGAATTGGTGGTTTGATTGTTGCTTCCTTTCAAATGTGTCTTTTGGTACTGGGATTTAGACAGAGGATGTTTGCTTTTAATATCTCTATTTTTGAGAATTGGAGAATTGCATTCTCGAAAATAGCGTCAAATGCATACAAATATGCAACAATCGAGTAGTTTAATGAAAGAATATCAACAATGAGGAAGTTAGAACTGCTGACAAAAAGTAATATACGAAGCTTCAGAAAAAGACAGAAAACTTAATGACCGATGAATGAAATAGTACTCAGTTTGCATTCACGACACGAAGTATTTGGAACTCATGTCACTAACGTATATACGTATTTTCGTGAAGGTTTTCCTCAAACAAAAACTGTATTATACGTTGAGTGGAGGTGAATAAAATGTTCGTGTTTATGACACGGGGTTGGCAACCCTGAGTGTGTGAGTGCGAGACGGAGGACATTTTCGTCTTCATAAAAACATATTTAAATAACTTTTTTATTTTGGACAATAAAGGTGAGTAAGAACTTTTAAAATTTCTTTAGGATTTTACATTGTTGTTGTAGGTTTTAAATTTAGAAGTGTATCTTTGTTTGATGAGTAGGCAAAAACTATGTGGTTGGATTTAAATTTCAATTTTATTATGGTTATTCTTCACCCCGCATTACCTATTCCTACAAATCTCCTCTCTATCAAGGACATATGTGTATGTGTAATATAGTAGTTCAATAAATAAAATAACTTCACCTGCGCTTAGGCGTAAGAACCAGGTGTTAAGAACCTTTAAAAGTATTTTAACCGTAATATGAATTGGTTCTAGTATACCTAATTCGTTATTTGGGAGTTTTCTTTCAGTAAATAGCCGTATTCAATTTTAATCTATGAAAATATATCACAAAACAACTAACGACTTCGTTTTAAAAATAAACATTCTGTACGAGTGAAATATATTCAACGAGAGGTTTAGTTTAAAAAAAGTTTCATAAACATTCTAGAACAAGATATGTAATTAAGTCTATGTAGAAGGTATGTAGTAAAGGTATGTAACTAAACTAAAAGCGTATTACTAAATTTTTAACTTAAAATAAATATTCTTTATTTGTTCGTACAGTTGCGTTGCCCCAGCTACATACGTCTATAGTTATTCGATACTGAACTGAACTGAATACTTGACCAACTGAATTAGATTTGTGAATAGAAAAATTATGTATAGTATTTAACAGAAATACATAGCTTATATTAGTGAATTTTTTATTTCTATAAATAAAACACAAAGACAGGTAACTTTTATATACTCACAACTTTCCTTGTGAAAATTAAACTTTGTATTTCTCAATCTCCCTAAGTCAAAGTCAAAATTATTTATTTAACTCGTCGAGTACCGTCATTATAAACACAATTATAGAACAATAGGTTGCGTTAGTAGTATATGATTGGGCATTCTGGACCACTTTTCGCTCGGCGAAACAAGTTCGCACTCGCGGTGGTCCAGAATGCCCAATCGTCAACGGTCGATTCGGTTAATGCTAGTAACGCAAAATACATAGTGGTACGGTTTATAAATATTAACATACAAAAAATATTTGTCATTGTTATTCGAACTGTTTCACACAGTAAGCATGAAATTTGTAAAACAACCAC